TTTCTCGCCCCCGGAAAGGGTCAGCGCCACCCGGGTCCGAGTGGGCTGCCAATCACAAAAAGCCCGGGGGGGGGGGGGGGAAACCACGCGATTGTTTCCAGCCCACGTCGCGTCCACCCTCGCAGTTAAAATTGTTATGGTAATGAAGAGGACAGCAGACTGAAACACGCTTAAACTGTCCCGTAAGACTCCGAACTGTTTATCCTCTAGACCAGTGTTTTTCAACCTTTTTTGAGCCAAGGTACATTTTTTCATTGAAATAATCACGAGGCACACCAACCAAAAATGTTAAACAAATCTGTAGCCGCCTATAATAACACTATAGTTATTCTTATCTTATCAAGTAATCGACATTTCGTTGTCAAGATTCACCTTGTGTTTTTTGTACAATGACAATAAAGGAAGTCTAAGTCTAAGTCTAATCTTAAGTGTCTTGAATAGGAATCAATTAAACACCAAAATTTATTTTTATCATATTTTATATTTCGTCTTTCAAATTGCTCTAAACATGTCCATACAAAATTATATACAAAATCTAGTCATAAGGAATTATTACATGATTACTCCACCAGTCACTAGAACAGCACACACACTCAGAAATGGAATATTATTTGCAGATAATTGATTCCTTATCAAAAAATCTTTTAGACCAATTAGGTGAAATAGGATGATTTTCTACGGCACACTAGTGTACAGAGGACCAGGGGTTGAAAAATTCAAATAGCTCATATCCTCAAAAATCCCACTTAAACTCAGTTTGATGGACACTTTTGACCACCTAAAGTTGCAAATTTCCCCTAAAATAAAACAATCAATGTTTTTTAATATTTTCAACAATTATACATACCGTATAAACAAATACAAGAACCATACTATACACAAACACCCTCTCAGATACACATCTGCATTTGAATACTTTTACACTTTTTTCAGCAAGAGACACAAACTGGTCACAAAGGCTCTGATATCAACCACATTTCCAAACTGGTTTTACTTAATTGTCCTCGTCGTCTTCAGATAAGTCCACACCTTCCACTAAAGTCATAAAGGGTCTCCATATATTTTCAAATAAATCACCTTTTCCTTTTAGGAGATATGTTATACATTCCAGGGGTAAAGTTGTCAACATTTGTCTGATAGTTGGTGCTGCTGATTTCTTCCAGAAAAGTGCAATTAGACGTTTAGATTATAACATACGTATATTGATCAATAACTGTTCACATTTGGTATATTTCATAAACCAAAAATGAAAAAAACAGGATCCAGAGGAATTTCTTTTGAAACAAGTTGTTCTATAGTTTGCTTTACTTCTCTCCAAAACATCCTAATTGCCCTGCATTCCAGGAAGTAATTAAATAAAACAGTTTTTCTCAAATTTCATTAATTCCTGGAAAATATTTGAACGTATTC